TGTTGGCTTAACCTGTAAAGAGGTTGTTAAGGTAATGTGCCTATGAACAATGCACTTTTTGTTCCTAGGCATTAACTAATAAAAGAAACACGGCATGAAAATACTTTCTCTGAAATATTTATTAGACTTGTTCATGCTTTGCTTTAGGCTTCTCTTGTGACATGAACTTCAGTTTGCAGTAGCTGCTGAAGTATCCAGAATCCCTAGCAGACTTGTGCAATTTCCACTGCGCGCTGTGCTACACATTTATTTGTTCTTGTTACCCAAAGTAGCTAGATCACAAGCAAGGTAGGTTTGCCTGCCTCTGCTGCATTCACATATCCCAGTGGGAGTGTAGACATACCCCAAAGGTAGCAAAGGTGGTAGCAATTGTATAGATGAGGGCTGTCCAATTTTTAAGTGGCTGGGTACCACACATAGCACAGGATGCACCACCATGAGCCACAGGCCTCCTGGGTCTCATGCAGCATGGATGCCTCCAGACTGCACTGTGTGCAGGGGTGCTCTGGTCTCACCCTCAGCTCCCTACTTGCAGGTTCCCCCAACACTGTAGGCTGTGCTGCATAATGCTGCACCACTCCCTGACACAAGGCAGGAAGTAGAAGCTGGAGAAGGGAAGGGGATCCCAGAGACCCCTTTTGTTAATGCAACTGGAGCAATGGGGAGAGTGACAGCCAGGGGTGAGTCCAGTGGCTATAGATTAACCCCTCATAGGCCACATGTGGCCCATGGGTTGTCAGTTGGACAGCCCTGGTGTAAACCATGCACCAGCAGTTTCACTACTATGTTGTCCATTCCTGGACAAAATAGGACTAGGTGACAGTTCTAAAAATGCTTTTAGTCCATGTAGTCTTTTCATAGTATCTAACAAAGTAAGCTGTTGCCTATGAAAACTTATTCCTCTCTGAACTTGTATTCTCTAAGATACTATCTTGCCCTGCCTTCTGCCTGGAAGAAGTATAACTACATTAATTCAGCATGGTGTTGTGCATGGGTTATTCAGACCTGTGAAGAAAGAGAGCTTTTTAGTCCATGTGCAGCAACATTGTGCTAAGGCAGCTATATTGCTTCTGGTTCCAGAGAGAGTGCAGGGTATCCCTGCAAAGCACTGCCTTGAACCATATAGGTATACCATTCATCTCCAAGACTTGCTTGGCCGCTTTTGTTGAATTATTTCCCATATTAAACTGGACTTTAGAGGGGAGGATTCATTCTGTACCCCTGGGGAGCAGCCTCTCTTCCTATTTGTTATGTTCAACTCCACTTTTATCCTCTGTGAAGCTCATGCTGTCCAAGCTGAAATGTTCCTTTCATCTCTGGGAGAAGACTTGTTCTCAGAGTAACTGCAGAATTGATGTCCTACTTAAGTGTAGCATAAGCAAAATATGTGCAATGTGCTTTGCAGGTTCTGTAGAGCACCTGATACTACTGGTTTCTGTGCTTTGAGATGTTCCTTCCACCTCTTTTGTTTTCCTACTTGCAAAGTGGAGTTAAAGTGGTTGCCTCTAGGTGTGCTTTACTGTGGAGTAGACTAATTATCTCTGCAGTAAAGTGTCACACTCTATACGTGTGCCAGTATTAGGGCATAGTAAATTAATTAAGTCCGCCATAAGATAATACTGTTGGGGTCAGTACTATCTTATAGCAGAGTCATTTACTGTGCTGAAACGCATGTGAAGATGCTAACAGCTGGGCAGAAATTGCACCTGAACAACCAAACCTACCCACATGGCTCCGCATATTTGGCACTCTCGTGCCCTAGCCAGCCCCTCCATCACGTAACACTGCCACCCAGAGCCCAGGGCTGACGCTCCCATGCCTGCTGCCAGCCCGGGTTTGCTTCACCCTGGCTCAAAGTGCTGCTATCCCAGGCGCACATCTAGATGCTGCGCCCAGGAGCAGTTAACTCCAGCGCAGCCTGCTCCAGAGTTCATTGTATCGCATTAATCTCATGTGTAGATGCACCCTCTGTGGCTTATTCAGTGACCTGGCTTTCTCTGCTTTCCTATATCCATGTCAAACTTGAGTGGATCCAGTGCTTGAGTCTTTCTGATCCAGTCTTCCTGCTCTGGTGCTGAGTCTCCAGTATCTAGCTGCAGATTTCTTAGGATTTGTCATATCCTTTAAGTTAGTACTGTGCTTTGCCTGCAGGGGAAGTAATCATATCCATTTGTATTTCCTTTTTAGGCTGAGAGACTGCATTCATTACTTGGCTTTCATTCTAACCCTGCCCCCTCCACCCCTACCCCACACACACATCTTAGTTTCATGTCTGTAACAGGGTGGCCTCTTTGTCAGGTCTTCACTGGCCACCCTGCTCCTGGGGTAACAGCCCGCTTTGCTTTCCTGCTATGCCTTGATGGAAAAATATGAGAGTTGTTACTAAGGCGGCAGACTTCCCATTTATCGCCCTGCTGACAAGGGCCTAATACCCACTCCGACCACCCCTCCACAGGTCCCCTGCCTCACAGATGGTACTCTGGTGTTACTTCTCCGGCCTACAGCTGGAGCAAACTGGGCACACAGTTGTGGCTCTTTTCTACAGCCCCAGAGGGCCACTCACAATGCTACCCCTGTCTCAGCAGGGTCCCACTCACGCCGCTTCTCTCACCCAGCCTTTTTCATACTGCCCTCTCCCAGGGGCCACACTCATCCCACCCAGCTTCACCGGGCTTTGGGCTCATCCTCGCCTTGGTCAGCCCTGGCACAGTCTGTTGGGGGTCTCCCACTACCCTCACCTGAGCAATTGTACAGCTATAGGCCTATTTCACTCCTAGCCCCTCGCCGGGCCACTATGCCTCTACTGGGCCGCCTCATTTGCCCCCACTCACGAGGCTGCTCTGTTTGTCACCCCTCTCACTCAGGGTCTCACTGCTCATCGCCAGGCTTTCCCCTGCCACCTGGGCATGGCCCCAGGTCCTTCCTCTGAACTGAGCTCTACCTCAGGGCTCCTTAATGAGCCCTGGGCTCCCCCTGCTCGTTAGAATACCACCGGGATGTGGAGCTGGGGTTAAGATGCCCCAACCCACCTTTCACCAGGGAGGTAGCTAGCCTGACATTTACTGGGGGCTCCCACGCCACTAGGAGCCCCACCAGACCACCCTTCGGCAGGGTGAAGTTTAATGTCTTACCCAGGACAAAGGGTCACCTCCACCCCAAAGCCCCTGCCTTTACCTCCTGACCAGGCCGGAGCAGCCTCTCAGTCTGATGTTTCTCCTTCCTCCAGCAGCACGCTGCAGCCCAGCTTATATCCCTGGGTCCAAAATGGCTTATATCCCTGGGTCCAAAGGTGCCCTGCCACAGGGTCCTTGTAGAGCTTTGTGCCATCAGAAGTGGAGGAGCCTTGTTGTTTAAATTTACGTAATCCACTGTATTCCCTTGACAAAACAGATTTGGCTTAGCTCTTTTGGGGGGCTGGGTTTATTTAATTCTTCAGTGTAAGGTAGGAAGTGGTATGCTCTGATGAAAAGATAACTTTTCTCCTGGTGGCAGCACCAGACTTCTGGTGCCAAGCTGGTAAATGCTGGTTGTGTTTGGCTTTTTTCTATTATAGACAGCTAGAGCTTCTACTTTCAAAGAAAACAGAAGACACAAGCATTTTTCATCTCTTAGTGCTCTGTCTCTGAAGGCCATGGGTCTATGTAATGGAAATTTCCTGCTTGCACTCAGAAGTGCTGTGCTGTCCCCAAACTAGGTTGTAGCCTGCTGCCAATATACATTGTAAAATATAATTAATTTAGTTTTTACATAGTATAGTATGAAAAGTTGAAAAAAGGCTGTTTAATCTATATACTCTAGCCTGGGTTACTGTGACCACCTGCATGGAAGAAGTTAATAGTAAACAAAGTTTCTTTTTTCAGTTCATGTTTTCAAAATTATTTCTTAGGTGTCTAAAGGTTGGTAAAAGACACTACCTGAGTCCGTTTCAGAGAGCTCAGATTTACTGCATTCAGACCCAGATCTTTACCTGCTGCTGCCTTTTCCATTACAGTGTGATAGCTGAGTCTGAGAGATTCATTGTTTCCTGATTAGGTTCACAGGGATTTTAAACAGCTTGGTTTATGAGCAAGATTTCTTTTTCCTTCTTAATGACCAACCCTGCAAACTCGGCTTGGAGTCTGACAGACAAACTGACTTTAGTCCCTTGTCACGCTGGGTCTGCAAGCTAGATTCTGCCTCCAGCCACACGTGTCCAGTTCCATTGTCTCCCATAGGTTTACTCAAATGTAGGTGTTTGAAGTTAGCTCTGGCTGTACAGGATTAAAAGGTGTACAAATTGCTTGTTGCAAAAGTCAGGTTTGACTGATGCTCCCAGGGGCAGATCTGGGGAGCAAAATAGTGCTATTTTCACACTTAGAGCAGAGCTATGCATTACAGAAACCCTTTCCTTATTTATCCTTTATAATATGGATGTACATGGTGCTTATGTAAGCTGGTAATTCATAGTACTGGCAAGAACCAAGGAGGGTGTGAGCTCGCACAGGTGCACACTTCAGTGCACAGTTTGGTCAGTGTATTGTCACATGGGCCCTCCAGCAACTCCTTAGTATTCTTGTTTTCAGATTTTGCACAGCACTGCCAGCTCACCTCAACCCTGAGCTTCAACTTCCTGTTGTTTCAGTTCTGAGCTTCCAAAAAATGTTGTAGAACCACTTTCTTGGGCCAGCTTGTCATCCTTGTTGCAGTGGCCATTCTGGAACTGCATGCCTGTTCCAGTTCTGCTCCATAACTGCATAGGCCCTGTCCAGGGTGCAATGGACAGAAAAAGCATCATTTTTGTCTCAGAATGAAATATAGTAGAGTAAGGCTTAAGCTTAGATGGATGTGAGGCACATTTGGGTAGATGTATGAAACAATGATTGCTTGAGTGGTTAAGATTTTTGAAAAAAGTGGGGGGAAATGTGACACAATAGATGGGTCTCCTGGTTACGACCATATTCCATGAAGCTCTTGCTTTTCACCCCAGGTTTCTAAAATGGATTGTCCTCTTCTTCCTACAGACAATTTCAGGTACACCTGTGACATTTGTGGGAAAAAATATAAATATTACAGCTGTTTCCAAGAGCACAGAGACCTGCATGCCGTGGATGGTGAGTACCATTTCAGGCCTTTGTTCAGTTGGGCTGGGAACTAATAAATGATATATGCTGGGGCAGATAAAGTGTGATTCATGGAAGTCAGATGCCCCTCATAGGGTTTTACAAAATATACAACAATTCTCACCACTTAACATCAAGGCATGGTCTGCAGAGAGGCTTCACGTAGGCTAATAAGGACCTAGACTGGCTGACTGGGCCACATGCTAGGACCTGTAGGCTCAGCAAGCCATGCCTTTGTATTAAAGTTCATGGTTCCTGTGGGTTTTTTTTTCATCTGTACCTTAACATAAATTGTCAGGCTGGCTCTTGCCTGGGCAGAGTTTGTTTGCCAGTTGTTTCTTACTGCATAGGAACCATTTTTCCTGTACCTTTTCTTGAGAAACCATGTTACAGAGGTACAAGTGCAACAGGAGTTGTCAGCTGGTGTCTGAGCCCAGGGACCTTAAGGACTTTCCCTTTTCAGTGCAAACATATAAAATTACCCTAGGTGGTCAACATTCAGGCTGAGACAAGCACCTGTTCCTTGCATCAGTTTGATTAGAAAATTGATGGAAGGTATTAAGTGTTTGCTTGGGTTTTTCTTTTTCTGGGGGGGAATATTTTTATGTTTTTTCTTCCCTCTGTACTCTTGCTAAAGCCCTGAGGGTTCCAGGTTTTTATGCACCTTTTCCTCTAGCCCTCCTGAATGAGCCAAGGTAGCACCAGGCTATCATTGCTGCTTCTTACTCTGCCAGGGAGCTGGGACAGGGAGCATTTGTGACCAGAATGTAGCAACATGCTAGTGCCCAGAATTGCTCAAAACATGTCAAATTTTGTCAAACGTTTTTGCTCTTTTTCTTTTTACTGAAATGTTTGGAATGTTTAGACCAGCTCTAAGGGCAACAAGCATGTGCTGGCACCCCACAGCCCTCCAGGAAACTCCTTTTCTCATGCGGGGTAATGGAAATGGAGCTAATGGAATCGAAAGCTACCATTGGATTAAGAGTGTTTCCTCATGCTTGAATTGGGTCTTCCTAGCTAGAGCTCAGAGAGCCCTGCTCAGGGCTTCCAAAAAGCTCAAGTGTTTTTTCAAACTGGCTACCGTTTGCATCTTGCTAAGACACCACTTGCCTAGATGCGTTTGAGCAATTGGTTGTGTTTCAGTAGATACAGATGTGAGTGGTGTGCATCTGATGGTCATGGTGATCAGTGTGGGTTTGCGTCAGTGTTAGAACAAAGGCCTTGAGGGTCTGTGTACACTAGGGCTGGGCATGCTCAGGTATTTCCCTGTGTGAATGCTGCTTGGGAGAGGAGGGAGTGGGACAAGGGAGCCTGGCTTGTTCTGTGGTGCTGAAGTACGCTGAACTGGCATATGAAATACAGGAAGAAAGCAAGGCCATTTAAGAGGATTTAATTTCTGTTTTGTTTCTTCCCCCCCTTCTTCTATTCTGTGTTAGTTTTTAGTGTGGAAGGGGCCCCAGAAAACCGGGCAGGTAAGCGCAGATCCTTTGTGTGCTTTATTTCAAAAACCTGTTCAAGTATTCAGTAGTTCTCCGGCACCATGGGTCTGGTTCTACACTCATAACAGCCAGTGGAGTTTTGTCACTGATTTCAGTGGGAGCAGGACCAGTCCCTCAGTGTGTAGCAATGTTACATAGAGCCAATAGTTTGATGCCCAGCCCTATTAGATACCAGGCTTTTGTTGTACATGCAGTTGATCTATACTTCTGAAAATCAGAGAAACAAACCATGAATGCTTTTTCAGTCGTCTAAACTTGTTTGTTACATAAATAAAATTACTACCTAAAATGGATTGAGTTCTGATTGGTTACTGGACGTGCTGTGAGATGGTTATACAGCATCACTGGTCAGTATTTGTTAGCTGACTCCTGTTGTCTACTTCACTACACCGATTTCAAAAGAAAGGAAAATCTGTAGTTGAGAAACATGCTGGGAAAATGTCAGCAAATAGAAATCAAGCTTTGAAATGTTTACAGTATTTCTCTGATTTTTGATTTGTCTTCAAATTGTGCCATAGGACTAGAATGGGTTAATAGCTGTCTGGGAGGGCATGTGGAAGAGGAGCGACAAGTCCAAAACTCAGAAGAAGGTGTTGTTTAAACCTTGTGTTTTTGTTACAAGTTGAAATGTGTATGACCAGGTGCATTCACGGCCCATCTAACTGCATCAGGAAAGCCTTGGGGTGTTGTCAGCTTTCTGCTGGTTCTGTTCTTTTGCAGACCCCTATGACCAGGCAGTCATAGCACCTGACGAAGTGAAAGAAGAGGAGCCGGAACCATTTCAGAAGATTGGTCCAAGTATGCTTTATAATGGAGTTTTGAAGGTTCAAGAACATGGCACACAGTTTGAAACCTGGCATTTGCTAAAGGGTCTTCTTGGGTGACAATGAGAGATCAGGATGTTACAGGAAGATATTGAAACTCTAAGGATGTCAAAAAGTGTATTTCATTTCAAATTAGTTCCCATGTCCTGCAGCCGCACAGCTGGAGAAATGTTTTAAGCATGGGCAGAAGTTACCTTCGTTACAAGTTTGTTCAGGGTCCAGGAATCTTGGGTTCAGCCTTTATGCAAGTTCTCCTCTTTGCATTTGATTTAAGTATAAATGGTGCCTCTTGCTGAGGGGTACAGCATGGGCGAAGGTTCTCACCTTTTATCTTGGCTGAGTACACACAGAGCCTAAGTTGGGTCATAGAGGAAAGGGCGTTTGATCCAGCGTCCATCTCATGCTATAGTGATTGTTTGTCTGCTCAAGGGCTCTACCAATAAAAGTGAACAGGGCGGGGGACTGTGGATCAGGATTCAAGCACATTGGCAGAGCTATTTGGGGTTAGAGCCAGAACTGCAGTAGCCAGGCTGCTGCAGATGGGGTTGTGGCATATTGGCAGAGTTGACTGAGGGACAAGTGTCAGTCTGCACACACTTGCATGCTGGGAGATAAGCACACTAATTAGAATAAACCAAAAAAAAGAGGTTAACTTCTGAATTTATGGTTCTATATATTTCTGCATTTCCTGCCTGAGGTTAGAAGGGAAGGTGGTGAAATACTGATACCCTGTGCTATTTCCAGTGCTAACAGAAGCAGGAAGTACTGCAGGTATCTCAGGAAAAGTTCTTCTCCTCAGATTTCCAGCCCACTCTTACAGTCCCAAATGAGTTTAGGAAATATGAATCCAAATCAACCCCTCTGGTTGCATATTTGAATATTCTGGGGTTCATCTATGACTGTCACTATTGCTGTCACATAGGAGAGAGGAACTGTGTTCCCCTGGGTAGTGCTTGAGATTGGATTTCTCCCTTGTTTTCTCTCTGATTCATTGTATGATTTTTTTACAAGCCACTTAACCTGGCCATATATGCTGTTCTATTTAGATTTTAAGGCTGTGTCCATTACCATAAAATCCGGTTTTAACAAGAGAAAAGGTGTGTGGGTTGTGGGAGGGAGGTGGCTTTGAACAGTGTTTTCCAGCGTACAAGTAAAATGCTCTATCAGTGTGATTAGTCATTCTAAACCTTTTTATTTAGCACTTAAGTTCACACTTAAAAAATAAGTAAGTAAGTAATTATGCAAGATGATGGTGGGTTCCTTTCTGATTGATTCTTTGTTTCATCTTTGCAGAAACTGGCAATTATACGTGTGAATTTTGTGGCAAGCAGTACAAATATTACACTCCCTACCAGGAACATGTGGCACTGCATGCACCTATTAGTGAGTATCCTGCCGGAAATCTATTTCATTATGGAGTATGATTTACAATGGTCGGTAATTAACAGTAGGGTTGCACTAGTAAGACGTCATTCTTATGGATTCTTCTATTGCACCCAGTGAGAATGCAGCTGGTAGGCAGCTGATGATGGGCTGACTAAAGCAGCATAAAGCAGAGATAGGGAAAACTCTTAAAGGGAAACTGTTAAAGTTACTAAGACCTATTATTTGACCTACCTTCTTAACTGCCTATTTGAAAAAAAAATCCCCAAAAAACCCTGTAGTTACTTGTGTGGATGTTGCAGCTTTGTTTCCATGTCTTTTTTAATCTTAAAAAAACCCCTCTCCATGCAAGTGCATTCTCATGTATAAATCAGTGTCCAGCCCTCCTCAACTATCCTAAATAACAACTGAACATGCATACTGTGGAGAAATTCTTTTTGATGAGGAGGCAGATTTTTCTTTTAATCTTCCAAGCAAAAAACACAGACAGTGAGTGCATCTGCATGCTCATTAATACACTTTTGCCTACTGTGCTTTAAATTTAGTACCTCTAATGTGAGGTACAAACTAAATGCACATTAGGCTTCCTTAAAGCACAGTAGTGAAAGTGCACTCTTTTCTAGTGATGCTTAACGCATAGTAGCCTAATTTAACTGTGCATTAGTGTAGTAGCATGGTTTTTGCCATGATGCCCTAATGCGCAGTAAAATAAGCTACTGCTCATTAAAGTGCACATGTAGACATGCCCACTGAGTACAAAACAGGTTTTGAAATCGTAAGACTCACTGTGGCACTTTACTTTGAAATCACAGTCAATAAGATGTTTGTGCCAGGGAATCTTGGCAGACGTTAAATTTGGTAGGCAGAATAGTCACAGAAAGGGGAAGTTACAGGCAACAGTCCTATATACTTCGCATACAGACTTCTAGGGAGGCTGTGCAGGGAAATTCCCATTACATTCATTCTGGCAGAGGTTGGGAGGCGCGTTTCGAACACTTTAATAACATGTAGGGAACATCCTTGTGCTTTTTTCCACATGCCTGTCTCACGGTGCAGCATGGCACTGTACTTTGGTTTTGATGAGCAGTGGCTAATGCAGCTGCTACTTTTCTTGCATCTGTCCATGCACCAGCACCATGGTAATCAGAAGATGGATATGCACAGCTCTAGAAATAGGGTTTGGGTAGCTGCTCACCCACAACCAGCAGATGGAGCTCACACCCTGTTTCACAAAAATCATCACCATAGTTGTTAGCTAGGTTTTAACTTATTATTTTTAATTGCGTCAATTTTTTTTTTACACACTATATAGAAATAAACTGGGGACATTGTCCACCAACTCACACTTTTAAGGTAGGTCAAATGTTATTGGTTCTTAACAGCTTAGCAGTTTCCGTGCAAATTCTGGAGCATTCAGATAATTTAATTTTCACAATAGTGGTGCAAAATAGAGAAGCACTGATCATCTCTGTCACTACTTTCTCAGAATTGATGTTCTTAGACCCCATCAACATGAGGAAACTGACTCATTGCTCACATTTTGTCCTCAGAAATTGTTCTTCTCTGGGCCCTCCTACCCCCAGCAATTGGAGAAGGACATGGTTTTTTAGACTGGGCTAGAAGGACATCTACTGCTGACAGTGGTTATCAACAATAAGTCAGTTTCTCAGTGAACGTGGAGGCTCAGATTCAGGGCCCTGGGATCCCCAGTGAGAAACCAAACACAGTAACAAAGAAAGACTTGATACTTGCTTTAAGTAAGGAATATTTACCATATGGCTTTATAATGGAAAGTCTGGTCAGCAAGAAGTCTCACCTTCCAAAAATTATTATCAATAATAATAAAAAAAGGGAACTACCATTGTTGATATCTCTCCATCCTCCCCTGTCCTGATTAATAATATACAATGGCTGCTGGTTATAGCCCAGATTGTCCAGAAGGAACAGAAAGATCAGGTTATGCTTAGCACGTAGGTTTCTGCATGAAGAACTGCTAGAGTTCAGATGGGAAATACAGGACAGCCCACCTCAACCTGCTCCCCTTTCTCATGATGCAGAACAGTTTGTATCATGAGTCCAACACATAATGCAAATTCTCATGAGGTGAACCAGGATACTTCTCAGTCACTGGAATCCTGGATTCCAGAATTCATAGTTCAGGACATCCTGTGATTTTGTTGTGGCCTGCAAGGTAGATTTTAACCCATTTCACTGAGAACCAAGACAACTGCAGAGTTAACACGGGGGCTGCACAGGGAGGGTGAGGGATCAGGAGCTGTCATCACTTAGGCTAAGGCTTGCACAGTGGGAAGCCTTAGGTTCCAGAGTGGTTTCCACCTTTTGGAAAAAGGCAGAGATTTTCCAGAGCTGGCTTAAAGCACCAGTTCTGCAATTGCCTTTGCAAGGGAGGAGGCAGGGAAAAGTACCTTTGCTTACTTCTCTGCACCCCTGCAGCTGGCTGGAACCAGCAATTGCTGGGAGAGTGGCCAAATAAGTGAGTTGTAACTATTTTAGTAGATGGCTTTCATTAGCCTTGCTGCAAGGAAAAAAACACATCAGTCTCTCAGATGACATCATTTTAATTTATTAAAGCTATATGTATTTATTAGGGCTGTGCAAAGCTTCAGTTCCTGATTTGATTTGGCAGAGATTTGGCCTGATTCAGTAGCCAAACCTCCGAATCCGAAAAGAAATTAGGAGACCCTTTAATCTCTCCGAATCAAATTGGAGCCCTCTGAATTGATGTGGAGAGATTTAGAAAGATTCAGCAATTTGGACATGGACACAGCTTTAAATGTTTTTTCTACCTACCTCAAGGTACCAGAAGGCTTGTGAATGCTGCAGTGCTGGGGTACATGGAGTTTCCCACAAAAGCGCAGGGAGCTCCCCAGCGCAGTTGGCAGCAGACCCAGAAGTGAACCGGAAGCACTTCCAGTCCACTTTTGAGTCTATCAGGGAGCGCCTGCAGGGCCCGCCCCCCCACACCCTCCGGCTCAGTGACTGGTGCCTCCTGGGTCTGGGGGGTGGGGGGCAGCACCCAGGATCCCTCCACAGCTGATCACCAAGCCGGGGGTGGGGGAGCTGTGCTCCTGTGGGACACTCCATGCACCCCAGCATTGCAGCAATCACGAGCCACGCCTGCTACCTCAAGGCGTGTAGAAAAAATATTTAAAGCTGTGTCTGTGGCCAAATCACTGATTCTCTGAATCAGCATTGAATCTTCAGATTTGGATTTGGCCAAATCGAATCAGGGACAGTGATCCAAATCAACTGATTGAATCACTGTCCCTGATTCAGGCCGAATCTGAATCAAATAGGGCCCATTTTGCACACCCCTAGTATTTATCTTTTTCCTCTCCCATTTTTCCATGGCCAGGCTAACTGTCATATAATTTATGGTGGCAAACCATGAAATTCACTTGTTGCACAGGAAGATAGGTGAGTTAGTTGAGCAGGACATCAGTCAGGATTTTCCCTTTCCTTTCAATACTGCCTAGGCTTATCCCCTCCCTCCCCTCTCCTCACACCACAATGCTTTGTTGTACTCATGATCAAGTGAATTTTTGGTGCAATACATGGCATTTGACAAGCCACTTGCAACCAAGAGAGTTACAACTGAGATTTTGTCCCAAGTTTTAGTCAGTCTCTCAAGAGGGATTCATGGCACAATTGCTGCAGTAGTAACTTTAGGGTGTAGATACAGGAGACACAGCCATCAACCTGAGATGTTCTGGGTCTCTCTGCTCGAGTTCAGCTTCCCTTCTACAGTTTATTAACTTCTCTCCCTTCTCCTCCCCTCACCATGATGCTATTTAATAAGATCCAAAGACAAGGGTTCCAATTCTGCAAGGTCTGCAAGATTTTTTGGTATGATTTTGGTCCTAACAGCTGACACAAGGTCATGAGTTTCTTTGCATTCCTGGAGACATGTTCTTCAGAAGATGGGAGCTGCTGCAGTGAGTGGGAATGATCCCCAGGGATCTCTGGGAGGAGGAAGTGTGTGGAATGAGGGTTTCATATTGCTAGAGTTGGAGGTTTCACTTTCTAAAAATACACATTCCTGTCATCTTTCTTTTACCCTATGTCACAGACAGGCCCGTCTACCTACCACCTCTAAAAATTGTGCTGAGGGACCTGCTTATAACACAATTCAGAATGCAGAACATCTGGAACGTGGCTCTGTCCTGATTTGTAGATGTACCCGTAGCTGTGTGTTCGGTGTGTTTGTGAGCACTGAGGCACAACTGTTCCTGGCTGTGGGAAGATTCAGGGACATGCTTGAAACATTCTTGAGGTCTCACCTGCACAGCAAGATGAAACGTACTCAACTATGTTGGGAAACAACTGTGTTGTGATTGGATCCCCTAATGCAGTTGTTTTAAAAGTGTAAATGAAATCCAATGCAAGTTGGAATTGCAGTAGGAGAAATCTTCACAGCGTGGTTTTTGGCCTGCTCTGTGGTGGTGCATGAGTGGCACCCATAAGCACTCCGTCACAAAAAAGGGTAACAAAGGTCATAATCAAGAACATAGATCAGTAGAGTAAAATAAAATTAGCATGAGCACAAGCATCCATTGCTCCAGGGATGAAAATCAGATGTAAAAAAGGTTAAGGGAATATATTGAGCCTGCTTTTTCATCTCCACCTTCAGGGTCAGTATTAATGGACTATAGCTTGTGAGACTGCTAATGGCAAGAGGCATTTCACCATTGACTGCCTCTTTAAAAGTAATTTCTACCATGCCCCTGAAAGCGAAACTTTAACAGTCTTTGTCAGGAATTGGCCTATTTCCAGCCCATAAGATCATGGTAGCTGAGAGGAGTAGGGGTCCTATTTAACATAGTTTAAACATGTCATCCCTCTTCACTGAGTAAAGTCCCATTCTTGAAGATACCTTTTTTCACTAATGTAGTCTTTCGCTGCCTTGCCAGGTAACATTTTTTATTCTAAAAAGCATATGGAAGATGAAATAGCTCTTGAGTTCAGAAGTGATTCCTTACATAGGCAATGTTAAGATTATTCCATCTTCATCATCCAGCCAGCCCTTTTAACCACACTTCTACTTGCCCATCTTACAAAATCTTCTTTAAGAAACCTGATCGAAAAATTACCAGTCTTTTATCTGCAGTAAATTAAGTAGTTAAAAATACCTCCTGTCTTTTTGTTTTCATTTGACACTGAGGAGGGTATTAGTTGCTTCCAGGAGGGTCATGAGGAAATGAGAGCCTGAATCCATCTTTCACTCCTTTGCTCTGGCAGGCCTAGAACATAAAGATCATATGACGAACACTAGAAAAATAACTCACTGTGATCTTCTAGAGTCTAGACCGAACTCCAGTATGTGACACAGGCCAAAGGACTTTGCTGAGTTAGTTCCTATTTGAACTAGAGCAAATTCTTTTGGATCGTGTACAGTCTTAATTTTTAAAAAATGCCAATGATGGAGAATCCACCAGAACCCTTGGTTAATGAATATTGTGGCTTGCTACCCTTACTAAATTCAAACCAAATCTTCTAGCCAGTGAATATTCCTATACCGTTGTCTGTTAGATTAAGGAGCCCTGTATTATTGAATTCACATTCCCCACATAGGTATTTATGGGCTGTGATCAAGTCCCCCCTTAAGCTTCTCTTTATTAAAATAAGCAAATGGAGCTCCTTGCGTCTTTTAGTTAAAAATACATTTTCCAATCTTCTAATAATTCTCATTGTCAGCTTCAAATCCTCTCCAGTTTTTCAACTTCCTTTTTGAACTATTGATATCAGAACTGGACACAGTATTCCAGAAGTGGTCCAGAACATCAAATACAGAAATATAATAAACTCTTTACTTCCATTTGATATTTCCTTGGTTATACATATGAGGATTATATTAGGTCTTTTGGTCATTGCAGTGCATTGGGAGTTCATGATCAAATGAATGGCCGTCAAATCCCTAGGCCTCGATCAGAGTCTGCTTCCAGAGATAGTACCCCCATTCTGTATGTACTGCCTGCTTTGTTGTTCCTGTGTGCATGATATTTCCTTTGGCTGTGTCAAAACGTGCATTGTAGTTTGCACCTAGCCTCCCAAGCAGTTCAGATCATTCAATATCAGTGACTGACCGGCCAGGTTTTTGTCATCCATCTGCACGTGTTAACAGTGTTGGTTTTACATTTTCTTCAGGGTCACTAATTCACATGTTAAATAGCACTGAGCCAAGTGCCAGTCCCACTGAACAACCATTGCCACACTGGATTGCACCCATGGTCTGTCTAGTCCAGTTGTCTGTTTCAGACAGTGGCCAGCATCAGACATTTCCTAGAAAGGAAACACCCAAAAGCAAACGTGAAATAATCCAACCCTCAGTTTGATCTTAGTTGGTCCTTGATAGTTGAATTAGGAGGTTTTGTATTCCTTCCAATGGATCAGTATTCTTATCCATATAAATATCCAGTTCATCTGGCTGCTTGGCCTCTTGCAAGCCTGTGGTAATGAGTTCCACAGTACAAACCTCTTTTCAGCAGATATCCCAAAGGAGGTATGTGATCTTCTCTACATCCACCATGTCTTAGTGCCACAAATTAGCCCTGAGCCCTTCCTGAGTGCCACTCTGATCCCCTTCCACTGCCTCATCTGCTGTGTTGGTTTCTGTTCCCTGCTATGTGCTCCCTGCCTGATCTCCTCTGCTTCCTGCCCTATCTGTTGCTATGCAGCCACCTATCCCCTTGCCATCCTGCCACATGCCACACACACAGGCTGCCCATGATACTTGTGGCATGTGTGCCTCAGGTTGGCCACCCCCGCATTAGATTTGACCTTCAAAGATAATTTACATTTCGGTAGTCCAGAACTAGCCTGAAGCTTTTGCCACAAATATCCAGCATCCCCAAGGACTCTAGAACAAATAGCATTTTGATCCGGTCTGGTTTTTATCTCATCTGCTGGGATTCTGCATGTCCCAGCCACTCTCAGATGGGGCCCTGTCCCTTGTCTGGCTGAATCTGAAGCAGCATCCCTATTTGGCTTTAAAGAAAGAAGGGTAAAGTAAGCACCACCAGTACATCAAAAGTCTGAGGCTAAAAAATAGTTCTGTGCATCCTCAAAAGATGTCAGATTAGACCACATTTTCACTGTTGTCAGTGCAGGGAAAGAGAAATTATCTTTGAAAGTGGTAATATTGTGGAGAGTTCACTGCTTAGCTTTCACAAAGAGAGCAGTCTCTAGACTACAAAAGGTCTGAGGGGCCTCCATGTTCCTGACACTGAATGGTTGGCTGGTTTCCATTGCTCTTGGTTGGAGGAGATTGGGAACAAATCAACATTTGACAGGAACAGCACCTGGAGGAAACATGGTGACACATAGGAGACCATCATAATGGACTTAACATTTGCTGACCGTGAAGCGGCACCTGAAGAGGGATTATCTGTGGGGACTGAAATGAAGCCTGGAAAGCAAAAACAAGCCTTTCACCTACTCAGATGGCTGGAGGTCAAGCAGAGCAGAAGTTTCTGAACCTAAGCTATGAGAGAACCTCCTGTAAATTCCTCTGCGGAAGCTCAATAGCTTTTACGAGAAATGCCACTAGATCTGTGTAGACAAAAACTGTTTTTGAGGTGTCTGCGTGCAGGTGCTTTGAATGATACACATCCCTGTCAAAAGTGGGCAGGCATAAGTCTGTGAAGGGCAGCTACATATGGGTCCATATCATCTTCCAGTTTAGGATTTTGCAAATGAGCACAGAGCCCAGGGCCTCAATCAAGGCAGTGATTCAGACGTATTTTCTCCTTGCTGATTTCAGATGGCTTTGTTTTTGCAGTGACAGCATGCAAGAATTCCTTATTCAAGGTAACTGCTCCTGATTTAATAAGATCACAATAAGATTTACAAAGCAGTTGTTGGGGTCAGCCCTAAGTCTGTGGGCAGCACATAGTGTCCCCTTTTGCCCTTGGGGAGGAGAAATCAATAATAGCAAGCTCCAGTTGTGGGGCTGGGTGAGATCCTTGATTCCTGACATTCGTGTCTGGCCACTGGTGTTCGGCTTCAAGAATACGTACCCAAATCTCAGCTGAAAAGAATTGTTGAGAAGTTAGAGAGATTGTTGGGTTATGCTTGCCTTTTGATACATTCTTTAAAAAAAGTCTTGGGTCTGAGCAAGCAGTACTCTGTCCAGAAATGTTCACATGTGTTCTGGCACCGCGAATTCCTGGTGATACTTCCTACTCACTGCAGACACCAAAGAATCTCCCTTAAAATCAAGTGATGCTCTGAGAACATATCCACAGTGATACACAACATTCATGCGTCTCACTAGCTTTTTTGACCTGAGATGGCATCCAAAGGCCTCACCTGACTCATGGGATGGTAACTGAGCCTCCCCTTCCTCAATACCATCACCCCTTATTCTTTTCAATCAGACAGATTAAATGGAAAAGAATGATAGGTGTGAGTTGGTGAGATTAGCGACCAAGCTCTAGAAAGCACATAAGGCTCATGAAGCAATGTGAACTCCCCCAGATAAAGCACTGAAGGAAGGAGATTGAAAATTCACTCTCTGTGTTCAGAGACTGTTAAAAATGTAGAGGGGAAACCTCAAGGTTCCTGTTCAAACAAATGGAGCTTCTGGATGTACTGGGTATGCCCTGCAGATTTGGTGGAGGAGTAGTAGGATTCCTGGCCTGCTTGGGTTGGTCAAGGAGCAGTTAAAAGTGTAAGTGAAACTGATAAGTTTGAGGAGTCTGTCCCTTTGGGTGAGTGGGGAAATCCTTCATGTTGTATGGGATTCAGTGGATCCACAAGTGCTGCAGGTCCCCTTGTAAGGGAGTCGTGAGCATGACTATTAGAAAGCAATCCTTCCAGAATGCACAGATTCTGGGAGCTGACTGACTGTCCAGGCACTAGTTCTGAGTGTTCATATCCAGAGTTCTCTCGATCTCCACTCTTCGTGGCAGTGAAGACACAGGCGAGCCAATCCGGCAAAAAAACACCGGCTTCAATAATCCGATGTTCCACCCTCCTGCACCGCACCCCCTCCGGTGTCCCACCGGCATCCCCATCCCAGATGTTCCGCGCTCCAAATTCTGGATCCCCAGGAAGCAAGGCCACCACAGGTACCAATTGCCTTTATACCATCAACTTTCTTAACTGCTTAGCACCCACTCCTGCCTTGGGTTAGCTTTTGTCCCTCTTTGGACTCAAAGTCCATTCCCATCCATGGCTGTCCCAGAGAAGCCATCACCAGAAGGACTTGAAGGGATTAACTCCTTGGCACTGTGCAAAGGATAATTAAAGTCAGCACTAGGCCTGTCTCCTTTCCCTAATTGTAACCCATTTGCCATTGAAATTAAACCTTTTTTTAAAAAAACATTGTACTAACTGCAAGGCACTAAAGAGACCCTGGTTCAAATCCTGGTGTCACAAACCAAGGAGAGCTTCTTGACCAAGATTTGCTTAGTGGCTTGTCAGAGTTCCCCCACTACCACCACCCCACAAGATGTTGCTTTCAGGGCTTGGCTGGGTGGGAAGAAAAGCAAGGCTGTGTAGAGTGCATGAATTCAAATGGTGCTTCAGGCATCAGGAGAACTGAGTAGGGATAAGCTGGGCTCCAGCAGCAAGATTCTCAGTGCAAATTTATTAGGACTGAGTCAGAAGAATCAAGTATGAATAGCTGTCCCCATCTCCCCTGCTCCCTTGTTCCAAATAATATTGGAAATAAGCATAGAGATGGAACAACAGTGCTATATAAGTGAGATATATGGTTCACATTTCCATATGATAGTGATTCATTCTTCCATATATTTTGGGTTGGCAGATATCAGATAATCTTAGTACAGGAAAATGGCTGGTTAACCAGCCTTTTAAATTTGGGACAGGCAGATGTCTGTTTAAAGCTCCCCTGACATGTCTGGTAAATACCCAATATGTGTAGGTGGTTGTGGTAAAAGGCCACTTCTTTCCGGCATTCCAAGCAGGGACAGAGCTATGGGTATTTTGATTAGGTGACATACACATCTGCAGCTACCACAGAATTGCAGTTGGTGAGTGACCTGTCTTTTTATAGCAAGAGTCGCTTGTGGGTCTGGAAATCCCTAATTTTTATTGCAACTCCTAATCATTCTTCTGTTTTTGTTACTCTTTGAGGTCTGTCCAGTTCAATGAACTTAGGAATCTGAGTTGAGGAGCCTTTGAATTGTTTATCTAAACTTGTGACAGCTTCTTCCAGCTCCACGTCTCTTATAAAAGCAGAAAGAGCCTAACTAGGAGCCTTACTGGATCAGAGGCCAGATTCATCAGAGCAATAACTGGGAGATGTTTTTTGAACAGGAACTTTTCCCCATCTTTTTTGTTTTTGTTTTTTAAGCATGTGAATGAATTGAGTAAAAAGGACAAGTCCTTCTCCCCCATTTTGGGAGAAGAATTACATAAAACTTGATCCTTGCAGTTTGAGCTCAGAGAAGATCATTTGAAACCCAGGGTCCTACCTCACCCACAGGGTGGCTTCAGCAAAATGCTCCATGCTGTATTTATAGACATTGTCTTGTGTGAATAGAATTGAATTGACTTCTTAACTTCTAGTACAACCACATTGGCCAAAAGTGCTCTCCAGCCAGACAAATCTGAGTAAATATCTCTCTGACATCTCAGTTAGTCCCGTATGGGTCTAGGTAGGACCCAAAGCATGACAAGATGCCACCATGATGTTTGCATATCCTTCAAACAAGTGGGATGGTTTATTTTCCTAGTGTAGTTCCCTAATATTGTCCAAAGGTTTCAAGATGGTTATGTTCTGTATGGAAAAGCTTCAATTATAAAGAAGCAGATCTGACATAGGAAAAATTGCCATTTGTTAATAAGTGGTGAGAGTCCAAAAGGCATCCAAAAAGGAATATTGAATCAACTTGTCTTTCTGGATACCAATGTGCCCCTTTCCCCCCACTTCTCAAAAAAAACCAAAAAATAAAACCAGTGGTGCATTTTTTGTATACATCTTCAGAGGCCTCCAACTCACTTTCACTTGTGACCTAAGCCAGGATTTGAACCCGGGTCTCTTGAAGAAAAAGGTTAATTTAACCCACTTTGCCATGCAGTCCTGCTTCCTTGTGTGCCACCTGAACTGCCAAGAAGCAGACCCCAATATTTCTATTGATTATTAATCAATATTTAGTATTTAACAACTAGTCCTAGTGATAATTACTTAACTGCTGAATTGATTAGAAAGCAACAGTTCTCGCTCTCGCTTACTTTAAACAAAAAAAAAATAGGAGCAGAGCAGATTTAAGAGCTTGACAAGCTTAATAGCAGTATCAGTATTTTAAGGACAAGGCCAGTAAATATATAAATGTTGCCAGTCAGGACTAATTGGCCCATGCTCATGAACCAGCAGAGGCATGCAATTTAGGTTTCTTGTGGCCAGAATCAAGCAGTCCCAGCCACGCATCAGCAAAAGAAAGCAGTGAGGTTTCTGATAGCCAGTCTGTTTATGGAAAGTCCACGGGTTAGCTGGTGCCTGAGCTTTCTGCACAGACAGTTACTAAAGTAAGGATCTGGAATCAGTAAGTGGAATGTTCTGTCCAAATCACCCCTAAATTTCAGGTGTCTTCTCCAAAACTCCTAACCTATAAAATTCACACCACACCTGAAGAAAAATACAGCAGTCTCAGTGAAAACTGACCTGCTGAAAACTGGTGAATTCTAGGAATGTGCTTGTTGGCGCACATCATAAAAAACAAGAACGCTATATCCAGGTCTGGAGCCTTATATGCTTTGACTTGACAAGTGGAGCATAGCTTTAAGTATGCATAGTCAATCTTTCATTTTGCAGCAGTAAATATACTGCTTGAAATTACTATAAAAGCAAAAAAGTTTGAACAACGTAAGACCTTGCTGTAGCTTGCACTGTTCAAACTGTTCTGAGGGGTGGCAGTTTGCTGAGTGTGAACATTAGCATGGTTCTACTGTACATTAAAGGTGTTTATACACTCCCTCTGGGAGTGGGGAGGTGAGAGGGCACTTTAATTAGAGCAGCTCCAGAGCCACTCTAAAGTGCCTGGAGCGTCTTGTGTATCGGCATCCCTGCACTGAGCTTGATCATAGAATGAGTTTCAGATAAAGCGCCCCTGCCACCATTTTTAAGTGTGAGGACGCTGATACACAAGATGCTGGAGTCTGCTGGAGCATGGTGATTACCACACTCCAGCAGACTTGCTGAATTGAGTCGGCTCTGATTACAGCGCATCAGAGCAGCCTCGCTGCTCCTGTGTAGGTGCCCTTTGACTCCAGATTGCTGCAGTTACTGCAGGGCTCAGGGCTGTCGCTGTCAGATATAATTGCTCTCCATATATTATGTGATGGATTTTTTTGGGCCTTATCACTAGGGCTGTTGCTTAAATGTCTGGAGTAGATGAATGGCTAGGAATGTCACACAGATTGGTAGCACTGTTGAGGTGGCATGCTCACTTTATGGACACAGAGAGGAGGATCGCCTTGCATTTGTTTCTGTTTACCCCTTAAGATGGTCTCTTGAATCCTTGTTTGTAAGTTCCCAGACAATCATTTGATCCTCCCCTGGAGATAAATTGTTTTGAAGATTTGGGGTAGGGGTGGGGAAGCAATGTCTAAAGAGGGGAATGCCAGTGGTTTACTGGAATACATGAAGGGAGATGACATTGTGGTTCTGTGGCCGTACCCAATCAAGAGTACCTTGGTAAGGACCCGAGTTCAATCCACAGGCCTGGTCACTTGTGCCAGAGGCTGCAAGAACTGCTCATTGCCTTGGTAGGAGCAAGATGAAGGAATGAGGGAGGGAATGCCTTGTATCACTCAGCCTCTGGCCTCCTGGGCCAGTCAGGACTGGTGTTCACAAGCTCCAAAGGAGTCCCAAAAGACTGTGTGAAAAATATCTGCTTGTTATTCCTTCAATGAATCTGGCCCTCTGGCCTCAGAGATGAGGCATTAGACCTTTCTGCTGTATCCAGGGTCTGTTGATTACGTGGTGCAGGAGTATGTCATCTGCCTCCCCTCTGTGCAGCCCTAGATCCAATAATGACCAGTCACCATCCTGCCTTTGTTCTCCACCCAGCAGAAAGCGCTTTCAGCAGGAGAGTGGAAGGCAAAGTGCAAAACAACTTTGAAGAAACAAACAGCAGCTCCCAAAACTCTAGCGGTAAGTATGCTTGCTCCCTCCCACTGTTATTTACAATGTGCCTTTCTAGGGCAGGGAAGAAGTTGGATTAAGCTGTGATCAAAGTGGTTATTTATTTAATGACTGTATTTGTAAAGCTTTTAGGTGTACCTAGTGTTTCACCGAGTTATCACCTGCCTCCCCAAGGCTCCTGACATTCTGTGGCCTGTTTTGAATTGTACTAATTAGGAGAAAACGCTCAATCTTCCAAAACTCGGGTGTCTTAGACTGGCCTTTAAAACGAGAGAAAGAAACCCAGAGGGTGTATCACCTGATTAACATAGAGGAGGATTAGTGTTATTTATCTGTATTGGTGAATTCACCTCGTAAAGCTAAGCCATTTTTCACAGGGCAATTGAAATGTAAGGGGATTACAAATAGAAAAGCAGTTTACGTATTACGTTGATCTTGAATATGGCAATTTTGTGGCACTTCACTATAATTGGAATCTGATTTATCAGCGTTAATTATGAGGAGGACAGACTGTATTTGATGTATTTTGTCAGCTGACATATGAATGTGTGAGCAGGCCACTAGCTTGCCTTGCTGTAAACAGAGTTTACATTCAAAGAAACTCAATTTTTTCCCTTTCCTGGGGTTTCCTTTTATTGTTACCTTAAAATAATATCTCTGAAGTATAATCCTCATCTTAGACACAGTCACCTAATTTGGGTAGTCCGAGAGCAGTGGTTCCCAAACTGTGAGTCACAACCCCAAATGGGGTCACAACATCACCGGATGGGGTCATGGGGGTGGGGGTTCTGTGGGTTGGGAGTGAGGGGCCATGCTGAGGAAGTATTTGGGAAGCACTGTCCTACAGGTTTCATTGTAGGGTCTTTGTTGCATCCTACTCTGTAGTTCCCTCTGTAGTTGAGAGCAGGATTTCAACCACTCTTATATTCCCAGACTGGAGCTAAGTGGATGTACCTGATATAATTTCATCTGAGCATTTCTATGCGAGATTCAGTGACCCAACAAAATCACAGGTCAGAAGAAGAGCACTGCATGCCTCGCTGGGTTCAGGCAACCCTTGTGCTTCAGGGTTGAACCAAGCACTACCTGAGAAGGGTTAGAAAGAAATGTCCCATTGAGCCATGTTGCAAAATATTCTGTTGGTGAGGGGTTATATGCATGTAGAAAGCAACTGTTATGGCCCTCTGGGTTGAAGTTCACTACAGAGGACTGTAGTGAATTGAAAAGAATGCTATGTGTTAATAAAATACCGGGTATTGTGCTATGGGGATCAAGCCTGTACTAATCCAAGTTCACCACAATTACAGCAATTCATTCTGGGACAGAAAAACCAAAAGAAAAGAGATGTAAGCAGAACCCATCAGGTGAGCTTATCCATGTTTCAGGCCCTTGTGCTATCTAGTCATCCTTTTCTGCCTCTTATCCCAGAGGTGATAAAAACCATTCCTTGTCTTCCTTGATCACAACACTGGGCAATTAAAAATTACAGTAAATTCTTTAGTTTGTGTAAAATGCCAGGATAATTGATTAGAGATCCAGTGCATTTTTGAAAATGGCCATTCCATACTCAACAGACCTTTTCTCTAAATCAGATCTCCTGCTTTTAGTGGTTGGCATTTTCCAAAGGATTTTTCTGACAAAGTATGTGGGGTTTTCAACGCAAACTGCTTAAGGCATTCTGTATGCCCCATTGAAAGCCAATAGCAGTTGGGTGCCTAGCTCCTGTAGGCCCCTTTGCAAACTTCAGCCATCTTATGTTCCTTATCCACTCCTCTGAGCCCTGCAGAGCCAATACAGCTATGGGAGAAGGGTATACATATCTTCATTCCTGTACATCATCAACAGAATAGTTTGAGTTCAACTGCAGACTGGTGATTTAAACCTGCACAGGTATATTGAAGGCCTGTAGGGTTTGTCTGAGTAGCACTTTCAGCCTAATCCGAAGGTTGGCCTAACTGGAACATGATGCAACTAGAAAGATTATTTCATTCTGGCTAATGCACAAAAAGGACCAGGGAGGTAGAACTGCAGACCTGGCAATTAGACAAATGTATATTTTTATCTGTAAAATGAACACAGCTGATTTGCAGGCATAATAGATAAATAATGCACAATCCCACCGTTCCATTTTTACATTCCAAACACCTAGTCCACCACTCAGGGAGAGAGTCACTGCAGTAATCTGTTAGACTACAAACTTTCTCTTTTTGTTTTAGTTTTTGTCATGAGAGAAGATTAACCCAGTGAATGGAAAGAAGTTGAGGAGACAGTGCAAAAGAAAAAGGGGGGGGTGGAATATTTTGGATAGCTTGGGAAGCCAGGATCATTTAAACTACTTTTCAGTTTTACCCCATTATTACTCATTTTCAGGCACATCACAGACTCTCTCCCCTATCTCCCTGTACTGGATCAAATTGTTTGCATGGTTCTTTTGAGTCAGCTTGTATGGGAGCTGCAGTATTCAAAATACTGCAGTATTAAAAATGCATCAAGTAAGAAGACCCTTTCCAAAAATATTTTTCCTCGAGTTTTCTGTGGTTTGTTCATCTTTCATCATGGCAAGTGCTGCCATGTATATTGGATGTGTTTGTGTTTTATTTTAATATCTTTTGTTGGGGAACTGGCAAGTTGTTGCAACGAGATAGCCTAAAATGGTGCTTGGCCTGTGAGAACTGAGCGATACCAATGAACTCTCCAGGGTTGCTTGTGGATGTGGGTGCCCTGCCTGGGAAAAGTTGAATGTGTTTCTTCTGGGTCAGGAGATGAAAAAATCCTGATGTTACGAGTATTTGAAATGGCACCTTCTACACAGTGAATGCCTCCTGTGGTCCAGCTCTAAAACAGCCTGATTTGTAGGGAATTAAACAAAATAAGCACTGATATATCACCTTAAGGATGTTCCCTTTTCCTCCCTTTCTGCGTCCCTCTTTTTTACCTATTTCCGTACAGCTTCATTATTTCTTTCATCCCCACTCTTTGCTTTCTTTTGTGCTGCTTTCTACATGACATTTGCTGTCCTTCTTGGCTCACTGCCCAGCCATCTTTTATTTAATTTCTTCATAGCCTCAGGAACAAGTTCAGAACAGTATCTCATTAATGGCAATATAAGGGTCCTGAGAGCAGTGTGATAGACTGCTGCTAGCATATCACACAGTGACTGATTTTGTGCCCCAGACCAGTGGGGTGCCAGGATGTGACCTGTATCATTAACTATAGTGTGCACTGTCCTGTCTTTTTCTTTCCCCCATTTTTTCTTTACATAAATGTGTTAGAAATATGGGATGTGCTACAACAAAGTTCAGTGTTTTGCACATGTTATATGAGCTTTAGATATCCAGCTCTCTGGAAGTGGTTCTGGTATTCACCCACTGCACAATGTTGCTTTTTCTTTCCATCATACAGCTTTCACATAGGCAGAGTGGAACAGCTGGTAACAGTGCGGTTAAATGTATAATGGCATAACGCCTCTCTCTCTCCATCATCCCCACCTTGGTAGCTCAGATATCACCTCAGCTAAGCTCCATATTCTTCCTCCTCTGAACAACACAACCCACCCCTGGAGGACTGTGCACTCTGATTCTGTACAGCAGTGTGAGAGCAGTGCTGTCCTTGTTACCCAGCCCCAGGAGGTTTTGGGGTAGGAATTGCTAAAGATATGTTTGACTGCTGCTTCACTTTATGGTGAGGATTTGAATTGTTGTTTGTGTCTAGTTTCTGAACCCCTAAAAAAATCTATTGTCCAAATCTGTGTCTGGGGAGAAAGGAGCAGCTGAATGAGCTTTCAGAGGATTCCCTTGCTAGGCTTGAAATGCACAGAGCAAGTGCTGCTCCTATAACTGGCTCCATTAGTATGGTAGGCTGGCCATAGTGAAATGCCAGTGAAGATGAAGCAACCTCTAAGGGACCAAAGTGGTGATAAGACAGTTGGAATTTCCTAGGCAAAAACCGCTTTGGTGGAAACATAATGTTTCACTCCTGGAAACGGGCTTCTTGTTAGTTTGAACTCAGACTGCCAGATCTCATCAGCTGCAAGTTCTACGCCTTGCCTGCGCCGTGACTTCTCAGTCATACAAATGAAACACGCACAGAGAAAAGTGATAAAATAGGGCATGTCCTCATTACACAGTGTAGCACCACTTAGTAGCTGTGTCTGAGTCCATCTGTGAGAGCACAATCTCACCCCAGTTCTGTGGGGTGTGCATTAGTGTCCATGAATAGTTGTCACTTGGTTTGTGTTGCATTGTGTTTGCTAGAGAAAGCCCATTAGTCAGTTATTCTAGCAACCCCCCAAAGTGTACCATCTGAGGCTGTCAAGTAAGTGCTTGGGGGAGAGTGTCTTCAAGCCAGGCTGGAACATATAGCTCAAGTGTTAATGAGGCTGAACTATCTGAGAGAACCTTGTGGTCTCGAGCAGAGGGCACATGGAGCAAATTGCCGAAATCCCTATACTTCTCTCATGAGGCTTGCATCTTCTTAACATCTTATTTTCCTTAAGAAAGCAAAATCAGAAGCTAGGTAGTATCTTGAGCGCACGTTTTCCAAGTAACAGCAACAAATAAAAACAATGCACAACCTTCCAAAAGTTGTGGGTGAAAGGGACCTCAGAGATGTGCCATTAAAGCTGAGGAGTGGTCATGATGTGATGTGGTAAGGCCAGCAAGAGCTGGGGAATATCATACTGATAACTGGCAGACAAGGTTCTTTGGGTAAATCTGATATCTAGATCTTGTCTGCCTATGTCCTTAGACCAACATGGCTAAAACCTACATCCCTGATATTGATAACTGGGCTTTAGACATTAAGGCAGCAGGATATTCTCTGTATCATTTAAGGAGAACATGAGACTGTGCTTAAAATTGGCTCAGCAGATGGATTTTTGTTGAAAACGGTTAATCTACCCTAAGAGTGACTGAAATATACCATCCAAAGGAAATACCTTAAAAATGCCATCCGAAGGAAACCATAAAACTTCCTGCTGCAGTGTCTGCAGCATGGACAACCTGCATAGAGACTCTGGAAATGATGTGCGTCTTGCTGAAGTTCATCGTCTCAGCTGAGTGAGGTGCAGATGGCTTACTTGAGAGTGGTGTTGGTGTGCTAGGATTCATTCATTGTTAATCTAAGGGGAAGTTAAGAGCAAGGGCTCAGTTAGAAAAATGCCTTCCTGGTGTGTTTTACCATTCATTTAATAGTTTAAGATCCTTAGATCCTCAGTTTTTTCCTTTTTCAATTTCTCAGAGACGCAAAAATTGTTTGCCAATCAACTAATGAAATTCTTTTACTGGAAGAGGGATCAGTGTTAGATAATTTTGGGCCTGTAGGAAGATGCAAACGATAAGGAAAGCAACACAAAGGCAAAAGCACATAGACAAGAGGCTGCAGCAGGGTCAGGCAATTATTTTGGGCAGAAGGCCACTTACCAAGTTTTGGGGAGCTGTTGAGGGCTGCATGGGGAGTCTCGCCCCTTGACAGTTGCTCCCCTGGTCACCATATTGGGACCAGAAGTCCCACCCCCTAACCCCTGGCCTTTGCCACCAGAAGTCCCTCCCTTGCCCTGGAAATACTCCTTTTGTGAGGAAGGGTGCTGGAAACTGGAATAGAGAGAGACACACACACACACACACCCATCTACTATGACTTATTTTAGTTCTATTTAAAAACATTTTTGTAGTGATTTCTGTGTTTAAAAAAAGTGTATCTAGAGGTGACCTCATAATAGCTCAAAATACAGTCCTACTGTGTGTTTTATGTGGGCAGTAAGGGGGTGGAAGTGGCAGGGTGTGGTTGGGAAGTGTGTGTATGTGTGTGTGAGTGCACACGGTGGGGTGTGGGTATGGTGGCTATGTGTGGGGTATGTGGTTGGGATGGGGGCTGTAGGAGGGAGTGGGTTTTTATGGTGGGTGGGGTGAGACTGCCACCTGCCGGGGCCCGCTGTGGCCTCACTGCCTGCTGGGACTTGCTGTGGCACCAGGGCCCACCACCTACCACAGCCCCGCCACCCACCATGGCTTCACCACCTGCCAGGGCCCCCCACAGCTCTGCAGCCTGCCAGATCCCTCCAGATCCAGCCACAGGCTCCCACTGGGTTCTGCTGCCACTGGCCACCTGTCATCTTTGACAGGCAGCCATGGGCAGATAAAAATTAATTTTCTAAAATTTTTAGAGGCCCCCACAGGCTGGATAGAATGGGCTGCCGGGCCAGATCTGGGCTGTGGGCCATATTTTGCTCACTTCTGGGAATGAAACCCAGAAAACCCATCTTATGTTCCCAGCTCTGCCATTGAATGTATATGCTGTATAATCACAGACAAGTCACTTCCCCCTTTGCGTCTGTTTCTGTTCCCCCATCTCTTATCTGCCTTGT